ATCATAGATTTAGCCGGTGGGAACTTGTGGAAATGACAATATCAACCTGTAGATTCAATTGTCTGAAAGAGCAAATTGGGCAAGTAGAGCTGAAAACTATGTCTAACAGTTTCTGTCAGAGGAGTGAGAGAGTGTGGTGTGTGTGTGAGTGAGAGTGAGAATAGAGTGTGTGTGTGTGTGTGTGTGAATGTGAGTGTGAGTGTGAGTGTGTGTGTGTGTGTGTGTGTGTGTGTGTGTGTGTGTGTGTGTGTGTGTGTGTGTGTGTGTGTGTGTGTGTGTGTGTGTGTGTGTGTGTGTGTGTGTGTGTGTGTGTGTGTGTGTGTGTGTGTGTGTGTGTGTGTGTGTGTGTGTGTGTGTGTGTGTGTGTGTAGGAATGTGTGCACACAAATCTAGACACCGGCTGGAATGCAGTTTTTAACCAATCAGCATTCAGGAATAGACCCACCCGTTGTATAAAATTGGACTACATGTTAGTGTAACACTGCATTGAATTATATAGAATTGGACTACATGTTAGTGTATCACTGCAATTAATTATATAGAATTGGACTACATGTTAGATGATGCAATGTGTTTCTTGTCAGGTGAAGTATACGCTGTTGACAAGAACGAGATCTGAATGTTATATAAAGTTTTGCCTGCTTCCCAAATGGGTCCTGGTTAAAAGTAGTGCACTATATAGGGAGTAGGGTGCCATTGTCTGGTCTAAAGTAGTGCACTATATAGGGAATAGGGTGCCATTCTCTGGTCTAAAGTAGTGCACTATATAGGGAATAGGTGCCATTGTCTGGTTTAAAGTAGTGCACTATATAGGGGAATAGGGTGCCATCTCTGGTCTAAAGTAGTGCACTATATAGGGAATAGGGTGACATTCTCTGGTCTAAAGTAGTGCACTATATAGGGAGTAGGGTGCCATTCTCTGGTCTAAAGTAGTGTACTATATAGGGAATAGGGTGCCATTCTCTGGTCTAAAGTAGTGCACTATATAGGGGAATAGGGTGGCATTCTCTGGTCTAAAAGTAGTGCACTATATATGGGGAATAGGGTGTTCATTCTCTGGTCTAAAGTAGTGCACTATATAGGGAATAGGGTGCCATTCTCTGGTCTAAAGTAGTGCACATAAAGGGAATAGTGTGCCATTATCTGGTCTAAAGTAGTTGCAACTATATAGGGAATAGGGTGCCATTCGCTGGTCTAAAGTAGTGCACTATATAGAGAATAGGGTGCCATTCTCTGGTCTAAAGTAGTGCACTATATAGGGGAATAGGGTGCCATTCTCTGGTCTAAAGTAGTGCACTATAGAGAGAATAGGGTGCCATTCTCTGGTCTAAAGTAGTGCACTATATAGGGAATAGGGTGCCATTCTCTGGTCTAAAGTAGTGCACTATATAGAGATAGGTGCATTATCTGGTCTAAAGTAGTGCACTATTAGGAAGGGCCATCTCTGGCTTCTAAAGTATCCACTAAAGAGAAAGGGCATTCCTTCTAACTATGCCTATAAGGGATAGGGGCCATCTCTG